TGACGAAATGCAAATTAATTGAAATCGCGTGTAAATTTCTGTAAGTCGGCGAAATACTGGCTCCGAAGCCATAGAAATACTTCAAACTACGACTGGGACGCTTAGGCTGTTTTTATTTTCATGTTTTGTGGAAATGCGCGGCCTCCGAGGGATTGTGCAGAAGCAGCACAGTTGCTATTGAGTTCTGGCCCTCTTCATCATCTTCGCTTCTTATTTTAAAGCGCCTCAAATGTTATCCGCATCAGGATATTGCGCTTTACTTGTATTTCAAAGCGCAATTACAGAACTTGGCAAAGTGCCAAGATCGCTGCGTGGACGGCTGCTACCATAAACGGGATCTGCGCCGCAAAAGGCATTGGGCGGAGGGTGGAGGGATTAGCGTGTTTCGAGGTTCTGTACCATGTAAGTGTCGTAGCACATGTCTTTAAAGGGAACTGTCAAGCCGATGTTTTTGATACCCTACCGTCCTTTATTTAATGAAAAGCTGAGATTACGGAAGCTTATCTGTCATGTATATGGCCAACAGGTGGAGTGTCTTAGGAAGGCACAAAACGGACAATCCTCGCGCCCGAGCGATTCATAGGCGTCCTTGCTAACACAAGTAATCTGGCTCTCAATATCTCACCATAAGACTGCCTCGCATTGGTGGCTTCCCAGTAAGTAACGAAGTCGCTGCGGCCATCGTAAGTGGCAGCTTTAACGATTTCCACCCGAAAAACTCAAAGGCTATTTGTGTCCCAGGGTCAGTTTCACACCCACCCTTTTTCGTTTTTTTTACTGTTAGATGTGGAGCACTGGATGACGCGAAGAAACGATTAATGAGCAAGAAACAGCAGCTTATCGCTTTGCTGGCATGAAAAGAGCAGGTCAAAAAACTTGCACGGCGACACTGCCACGGGATCTTCACAGTTTTTTCCATGCCTTTGTTTTGCTTCTTTCTTTCCTGGAGAGCCACTTGGCGGCTATAGGTTCTTTATCGAAGACCACTTCCCACAATATGCAATCGCAGGTTTGCCTTCGAACAATTCAAAGATTTTCGCATACAAGAATAACACTGCGTGCCCTTTTAGTTCGACTGGGAGTGTACTGAATCAGCTTACTCACAAAGTTCAATGCCGAGTAACGGGGAGTTGGTAGGGAGCATGGAATACTCTCATATTCTTATTGAGCATCAGTCTTACTTGATGGGACAGGTCCACAAACGTGGTGCATGGGTCCAGCTAGCAGACACTTCCCAAAGGAGCGATGGCGATTCACAGGTCGAACCTCTCACCTATCGATTGCTTAACCTACTCCGAGCAGTCGTAAGAGGCATCGTTCTGCTATCATACACAGCACGAGTACAGTAGTGTTTTTGCAAGTTGAAAGCCTAGCGCCTTAAAGGCAGTTGGCACGATGATTTGGTACTAGGCCTAAAATACTAGCAGAGCGCTATACAGTCGGGAAAATGGCGAAAGAACGAAGTGAAATGGTTACAATCCTGCAAAGAAAAAAATGCCTTTATTCTTATTGACTTGAATAACAATTTCGGACGAGTTTCCTGTAGGCATCTCTGCCAATAACCGCTACCGAAGGTACAGCTGCATGTATATTACTCATATATTCATGCAGCGGCTGCTTCATGCCAATCCCTCCGCTTCAAAGTTTGCTTAGAATCAATGCGAGCGTCAGCGACGGTCGTCCATTTGTGGGCGGCCTGGTGTGGTGGGCGTTTGGGTCGGTATGTTGTAGGTTGATAGGGCCCTTATAGGAGTACATTCCTTGGAAAGGGCGCTGCGCAGCGCCTCCTCAGGGGCGCGAAATTCCGTCCTGCTATGCGTATTAATCCTACTCGTCTTTAGTGATTTATCGTGCCAACTGCCTTTAGGTGAAAAAAGTGGAAAGGTGGTGCAGAAAACTCATTCGTGATAGCCCTAACAACCAATTTTGACTAACTAAAAATTGATGTAAATCCAAAGAGAAAGGAGTGGCGCGTTCCTTTCCCAACACAAGGCTGCTTTCAAGGTAATAATCAGAGCGCGTAACATAAGCTCCCTTATGAAAATGTTCTGAACTTACTCCTAGATTCACCTCATTTTGTGCTTATGAAGCCTGAATCGGGGTAAAGTACTCCGAAACTGAAATGGCAAATATTAGGTTGTCCGGAAAGTTCTCAGCGTTTTGAGTTATTATTTTTTGAACATTCATTGCTGATTAAAAACTCATTCTCCTTTGCGTCTCAGTAGTACATCCTCAAGAGAATTTTTTGCTCTATCTGATAGCATAATTGCCCCTTCACTATTGCTTGATAAACTCCCTTTTCGCAAGACCATTTGAAGCATGTCAAGAGAGCAACTTTGGACGATATTTCTCTTCAACTTTTCTACTAATGGGGACGATCCAGTCGAGACAGCTCGACAAATTAACCAGGTGTGGGGGCCCAGTAGTGTTGGAGGAAGCACCGTGCGACAATGGTTCGACACATTTCGTTCTGGAGATTTCAGCCTTGAAGATGAACCTCGCAGCGGTCGACCTAAAGCAATACCTGCGAGGATTTGAAGGCGTTTGTGGTGGCGACCCCATCCCAAACAGTCCAAGAAGATTTGCAGAAAAGCTAGCGCTTAGGAAATAAACGTTGGTCTGAAACGCATTGGGAAGGTGAAAAAACCCGACAAGCGGGTGCCCCACAATTTCAGTGACTGGCAGAAATTGGCACGTCTTGAGGTTTCTTCTCCACGGCTTTCGCGCACAAAAAACGACCCGCTTTTGACAAGAATTTCACCTGTGAGGAGTGGATCATGTATGATAGCAGGAGACGTTCCGGACAGTGTTTGAGATGCCAACGAACGAGGAAATTTCCAAAGCCGAATCCTCACGAAAAAAAAGATTATGGTCACAGTGTGGTGGTTATCGTTGGTGTGCCGGGCCATCCAAACTGAGGCGAGTCGGATCGCCCGCTTTCGCTACAGAAAAATTTTTTTCGCAATTCCAGATCATTACCGTTTCACCACTTGGTATATACCCCACCTAGTGCGAACGGTTGTGAAATTTTCAGGTTAAAGGGGTAGGGGTGGAATGCCGGATAGTGGATGAACTAGCAATGAATGTGTGTGTGTGTGTTGTGAGTTGTTGCCTATGAATGAATAGCAGGTAATTAACACAAATAAATAAATGCCCGCCGAGCTCTGCGCGCATCTCTTTCGCCTGGTGTGTCTCCAACTTATGTTACCCCCCCCCCTTCGCCCCCCCCCCCACCTCTCCATTAGAATGCAGCCCCACTCGAATCTGTAAGCAAAATTCGAGTCGATCACAGAGCTGGTTCATCCAAACACTGCTCGCAAAAAATCGAATCGCCAATCAACCGTCGACGCCACCTTCTTTACTCCACGTTTTCGCTGTGCTCGGCGTAGTTTCGCGGTTTGAACTTCGAAATTTTACTTGGTCCCCGCCTACCAGAACAACAGCCCGCCGGACTGCAGATCTGCCGGGCTCTTTCCAACGCCCAGTTCGGGTGTGTCTCCTCTGTTTATCTACCTTGCCCACTTTTTACTCGAGTCGTTTTCCGCTGCCCGAGTAGTCCGAGTCTGGAATTTTGAAGAATTTGCGTTAGCGTTAGGAGCCCCGCCCGCCCGAACAAACTGCTCCCGCTACTGTCCGGGTGTGCCCCCACGCCCAATTGTGGGTGTAGTCTAATCGTTGGTGGCATAGAGAATGATTTGTTCCCGGGTCCCCGTTATCTTCGAAGGAATTTTTACGAAATTTTTGTCGGTTGCGCAGTAGCTCCATTCGGTGGCACGCCCCGTCTTATGTCGTGCGAGGCTTTGGTTTGGCTGACTTTCAAACATGCCGCTCACCGCCCCATCCAAAATTTTGACGGCGTTTTAGAGTGTTTTTAGTTTGACACGTTTCAACAGACACGCTCAGCTATACATAGGCCCCGCATTGTGGGCGGAGCCAATTATCCTATTGGTCGTCCGTTCGGTGCGAAACACGCGATATAGCTGTACAAACACACAGCACAAACACACAACTCTGCCTTTATATATAAGAGAGGCATTTTCAGAACTTCCTTGCTGGAAAATACGTTCGTCATTAGACCAGGCAAAAAAGCCTTCGTGGATTTCGTGAACTCTCGACCACTCAGTTTTTCTTATTTTGATGGGATTTCTCAACTGCTATCACATTGGGAAAAGTGTGCGGATTCGGATGGTGCCTTTTTCGATTAAATCCGATGAGTATGAATAAAGTTATGGCCGTTTGAAGTGAAACACTCAAAACTCTGCAAACTTTCCGGACAACCCAATAATTCGTAAGCGTAAAGTTTTAGTGAAATGTTTCGGTGGCAAAAGCCACAAATTGGGTTTCCGAGAATGCTAGGGCTTGCACACTGTTCAGAATAATGTCGTTTATAGAGTCGCAGTGTTTTCCACGGCGGTAACTTAGGTGCAGTGCCTTCATTTTTAGCCGTCAAATTAGCTCACCCCACTGCCGAGGTCATTACTGAATTAGACTGACCGCATTCCTGCTATGTGGGGGCAGGAAGGGGGGGGGGCGAACGGGTCCGCAACTGCAGTAGCTGCCACTTTCTCCAGCTAAAAGTGCACGGGAAAGACCTAAAGAATCGTGATACTTGAGTGCCGTCTCCATACTCCGCCGCTATACTCAATGAGCAGCGTCGGCGTTGATAACAAGAATTTGAGCGGTAAAGGAAAATAAGAAGTGAGAGAAGCAGACATGGGCGTTTGGCAATGGCTAGGCGCCTGACAGGTTCTGTGGGCGAAGTATGGAAACAGCTTCCGGGTTTCACTACGCGCACTTCCGACTGCAGAAATCAGCAAGCTGTTGGAGCTGTGGCCTATTCTCCCCACACACGGCAAGGACCAGGATCTGCAGAGATGAGGGTAATGCTTGTAATGCGAACCGTTAGATGAGCGGGTGAAGCGCCTTGTTGAAGCAGAATGGCTTTGTCTTAAAAAATGTCAAATTCAGATGATCTCGAAGACGATGTTCACTCAAATGGAATGGCCAAGGACACAGTCGTCGAGACAGTGCCAGTGCGAAAAGGAGATGAAAGAGAAACGTGGTCCACAAAGGTAATGGCTGGCAGCTGATTAGTTCCGTTTTCTGCACTAGTAATTACGAGCTCTCAATGAAATCTTGCTATAACCGTCGTTTCTAACCACAGACACGCTTATGACTGGATATCTGTGATTTCAAACTGTTTCACGACTCTTTACAATTTAAGCTACTCCTGTATGGTTATCGCTAAGAATTATTGTTAACATGAGGATGAGGTTTGGAACGACATCTTAATGATGCCAGCGTCCTTACCATGGCACATCATCATTGGGATTCCTCTACCGGACGAGTCGTATTTCGCTGCGCGGACGGGGTCTTATGTGCCTTTGAGGCAAACTTGCGACCTTGGGAGAATTTTTCCCCGTTGTTGATATTTCGTAGTTTTCCCTCTTTCATATGCTTTATACGCTGTATACCTCCCCCCCCACCCGCTCGACAGCTCGATTTTATCAGAGGCAGGGCAAATCATCGTTAGGGACTCTTCAACAAGGGGGGGGGTATCTGTCATCTGTTTTCTGAGAGTTCTGAGAGAGCTAGTTGACCTTCCGCGGTTTTTCCCTCTTTCACATGTACTATTGCACTACATACCCCTTCCCCCTCCCCCCGAGCTCGACGAGGAGGGAGGTAGAGGGTCAAAATCCCCAACAAATGACGTGCTTTGATCACAGGAGTAAATATAGGTGGGGTGGGCCACCTCCTAGGGGTTGGGTGGTACGACACGACCAAAATTCTCAACCAATGATGTTTCGTGGACCCCTCATTATTGGGCGGTATATTGTTCCCTGACTGCAAGCATGCTACTAAATATTAATGCACCTGTCTAGATAACCTCTTCGAAAGCGTTTTTCCCACGTGATAGTCATGACAAATGAGTTCTCCACAATGAAGAGTGTACGCCGTGGCATGCTTCTACAGCAATTACCTTGAGGTCCCACAGGTCCGCGTAATATTATAATACGATCGCTGCGCGTGGAAACACCGTACGGAAACAAAGTTGAAAATGATGGTATTTCTGATTCTGGAAATGAATCCGAGCAGATGAGGTCATAGAAACAAGCTGTAAATGATGATTGATCGAAGATTCGAGGAGAAACTGAATAACGGAATTTGGAGCTAAAAGAAAGAAAAGAGTGATCTATGTAAAGGAAGCCCAAAAGAGAACTTAGAGAAGTTCTAATTCTATAACCTAGTTATTGACAGTGAGTCACTTAGTCGTTTCCGTCATCTTGGCATCATACAGCGTGACTTTCAGAGACATAAAGGAAAACGGCTATTTATGTATGTATAGACAAATGAGCCGTCTCATATTCAGCGCCTGCCCACTTTTCTGCAAAATTTGTAAAGAAAAACAATGAAAATCGTCTGAACTCAGGTGGACTTCTTATTGTCAGTCATCGGATTCGCAGTCGATTTGGCAAACATATGGAGGTTTCCATACCTCTGCTTCAAGAATGGTGGAGGTAAGTATTTCTTACCAGGCAGGGTAATTCCACAGTTGTTAGTTGGAATTTAGAGCAAATGTATCAGGATAAGGAACCTTCAGTGTGATTCCTGCCTCTAATGTTCTTTTCAGGTGTCTTTTTGATACCGTACACTTTAATGGTACTATTGGCGGGTATTCCACTATTTTATATGGAACTCTCGCTAGGTCAATACTATCGAAAAGGAGCCATCACAACGTGGGGACGCATATGTCCACTATTTAAAGGTTTGTTGAAGTTTCCTTTGGAGAAAATTCACGCATGATCATTTCAAAGGAATACCTGTTCACAGCAAATCCTGTGCAGGAAGGGAAAACTGATGTCCCACTAAAGTGCTTTTTTTCTGTGAATCCAGCCCTCTCACCACGGTTGCAGGGTTCTTACCAAAAGGACATGCTCTCTGCGAGGGTCGAGAACTATTTTCTCATGCCATCTACTGTCACAGCAGTTGAAGGGAGAAGGCAAAGAAGGAGGGAAGAGAGAAGGATGGAAGGAAAACGAGGAAGGAGGAAGAAAAATAAAAGAGAAGAGAGGTTCCGCGGTTGACCAATATCCTAGACGCTGTCACCACAGCTCTTTCGCGCTTCTCATTAGTTGTTTGGTTATCCGGTAACTGGGTTCAATTATTTGAGCACTTCCGAGTTGCGACAATACTTTTACTGTTAGAGGGGGGTTGCTAATGTGTCCTAAGCAGTCGGAGCGATACCAAATTGATCTAAAACCCGTTCGCGATCTTAACAAAGGTGTAGAGACCCTTCAGAACTGATAGGGGTCTTACTCGAGGCTTTTTCTGCTTTTTTTACCTGTTAATTTGCTTAGCACCATGACATTTTTATTTGAATTCAATCTCCTACTGGAGGGAATAACGGACTCGGCTTTCAATGGCATAAGGTATGATAATTCGGTACCCGGTGAAAGGGGTAGCAGGGGTGCAGTATAGTGGGGAAAATGGCGAAAAAACGATGTGAAACGGACGAAACCCTGGAGAAACCCTTCGAAACCCTTTGCTTCCCACCACTCAGACAGCGATTTCGGACGAGTTTTCCATTGGCACGTGCCAATAACCGCAACGGTAGATACGGCTGCATGTATGTACTCATATATCCTTGCTGCACCGCAGCTTCTTTATGTCAATCCCTTCGCTTCATACTGTACTTCGCAAATGAAGCGATACGAGCATCAGCATCGGCCGGACATTTGTGGGCAGGCGGGCGCGGTCAGTATGCTGCAGCTTGGTAGGGCGGTATAACCTTCCTTAGAAAATGCGCCAGCAAGCCTGCTGAAAGGACCAAATTCTATCCTGCTGGGAGTACTAGTCCTGAATGTCTTGGGGATTCATCGTGCCACTTAGTTTAAGATGGCTGTGCTGCAGCGTTTCACAAATAGAAATATCAATATAGATTTCGATATAGTATAGAATTTCGACAGATAGTAGTTGCTGCTCGGATATTCTATACTACGTTCGAGATCGCAAAACATTATCTTCAAGTGGGCCGAACATTGCATCATTATAACCGCTCCGTTGAAGGCTGGGCCCGTGTTCAGATTTGATGGGTATGCGGTTCAGGTAATTCCAAGGTACCCAGTAATGAAGAAAAATAGAAAAGAAAACATGCAAAATGCCCTGTAAGGTTTCATACCGAATAGCGGTTGTACGTGCTGAAGGTGAAGAGAAGGAGAGGTTGCACGGGTTCTCACTTGCTGGTATCAGCTGTCTCCCTTATCACCTCACTCTCACTATTCAAAGTGGAGAGAATTAGTAGCAGAACAACGCACCATCCGGCACCATTAGAACGAAGATGGGCGCTGTGGTCGCCAGGTAGGCGAGGCGGCCGACTATTCACTAGCGAACGGCGCTATCCTCCCGCCTGTTTGAGATGCAAACTAGTGCATACTGCATCCTTATAGAGAGGGTTATGATATCCACAGAGGGCGTGGGTATGAAATTAACGTGGACGCCGCCTTCAAAAACTCAACAGCGTGTGAAGTGCACGATGTCTCAACGACGATGTGGTCATGCGGTTAGCGCAGTGGGAGAAATGTCAGCGGTTGTGGGGGCTTGAATGGTGAGAAATATCTGGTGAACTCATGTATGGGCGTTTCCGAGGGGAAGGTCTACAGAGTACATGAGCCACTTATCGTGTGGAAACGTTAGAGTCTGCGAGGCGACAGTGGTCATGGGATACTTTGTATACTGGTATACGATATCAGAAATTGATGCAGTTTAAGAGACTGATTTCGCTACCAAAATTCTGGTTCTTGCTATAATTAAAGGCACTCCTGGATCAAGTGATCAGCGAAATGCCTCCGTGCATAGTTGTCCGCACTCGCAGAGATTGTACCACTTCCGTCGCCAAAATGGCGAGATAAAGAGGTAGATACGCATGGTTATTGCAACCACTGCAACCACGATTACTTTCATTTTGCAAGAGAACGGCTTACAAGCGGAATTGCGTGTGTACCTAGCGTTGTCTGGAGTGTCGTGGGGCGATTTCCTATGCTCTTGCCGTTAATTGGTTGCACATAGAATCCTGATGGACTTGTCCTCACGATGAACTCGTCCAAGACGCCGACCCCACTGCCGAGGAGGGGGGTCTGTTCTCAGGGTGATTCCAAATTTTTTTTGCTTCTTCCTCTACTAATGAGTTTTTGATGGGCTAGTAGTTCATGACTGAGCATCTGCTACCTGTCACACTTGATCGCGGGAGTTGTCTTCAAAGGCTCGGTCCGCGATCAGGTATAGAAGTTGAAAATATAATAAAATAAGTCGGGGGGGGGGTAATGTGGTCCGCGACGAACAACCCTGTACCGCGCTCGCGGCAAAAATTTGTAAGGGAGGCGCGCTATAGCACAATATAGGCTCAGTGACGCCTCCTTTTTTCCAGTGACTTCGCTTCCAGACTTCGCCTTCAGAGCCCGCCTTCCGCTGAAAAAGGAGCTGCCGGGCGAAAAAGCATGAAAATCGTCACTTGTACGGTCATAGAATTCTTGTCGTGGAATTATCTTGGCGGATGAGGCCGTAGAGTTGAAAATGGAGTTTATTGGGCACATACGAAACGGGATCAAAATGGTTCCTGCCTAGGGAAGGGAGCATGTTTTTCTGCTTTTTTTTCTTCACTATTGAGTTATTCAGCACCTTTTCGTCTGTATGCGAGCTCTTAATCCACTATCTGTGGTGGAGAATTCGCGTTTTGCCTTTGAGCGATTATAGCTTTTCATAAAGTGAGCTTATATTAAGGTATCGGCTACTGTGTGATCATGATCGCCTTCTACACCGACTTCTTCTACAATGTCATCATCGCCTGGGGTTTTTACTACTTATACGCGTCATTCACGTTAAACTTACCGTGGGCCAGTTGCAACAACTCTTATAATAGCATTGCTTGCTATGAACCACAGTCAGTGATTTTCTTAGTATAATTCATGTATATTTGCTCAAACACTATGAAATAGGAGGTACCAAGCCAACGTGCTCGATACTCTACCTCATACGTCGAAGTCAAGGGCGACGGTTATTTTATAACTTTGAATTCTTTCAGTTGGAGCGATGGGTCATCCACGTGCCGAGAACCGGTCACAGACGAGTCGTCGAGAATCTCAGCAGCTGAGGAGTACTTCTAGTTAGTATACATTGTTAATAAATTCCATGTGCTAGTGATTAGTCAACTCATTAGTATTCGTCTGACCGTATTTGAAGGCAAGTGGCACTATAAGTCCCCAAGACGTGTGGGATTAATACACCTGGCAGGGTTGATTTTGACGCCTCTGAGCAGAAGCTGCGTGGCGCCTTTTCTACGAAATGTACCCCTTTAACACCCTCTCAAGCTGCAACATCTATGGGACGCCCACGGTGCCCGCCGCCCACCCGCAAATGTCCCACCGATGCTGATGCTCGCATCGCTTCATTTGCGAAGTACAACATGAAGCGAAGGCATTGATTTGAAGCGGCAGTGGTGCTGCATTGGCACGATTCCAACTGAAAACTCGTCCGGAACTGCTTTCTGAGTCGTGTAGAACAAAGGCGTTTTTGCACGTTTTTTTGCCGTTTTCGAACTATATAGCACGAAATCTCAGCGGTCGAATAGGTTCCAAATTTGTTGCTATCGAGAGTGTATGAAACACGTTCTTTACTGAGTCTCTGCCCTTTGACGCTTGAGCTGTGAGTGAGCTAAAACGGTCGCAATCCAGCCATACAAGCTGTGCAACGAGTTTCGACTTACGTGACAATTTAGATTTTTTTCTGTATGGCCCACTTCGAAATCCAGGTTGCCCTGTTTCGAGACAACTGCAGAGCAGCGGTTGTCAAACATCGAAAAGTGCAAAAAATGTGTGGCGAGGCCCTAGGGGATTGCCCTTGGTAAAGGAAAGGGACTCTAGGGCGGATGAACTACTGATCATGCGTAGAAAATTTACTGTATGAGATCGCAGAGGTCATGGAACGCCATGCTGACGCAGAGAAAAGGAGAAAATTGTGGCAATATAGAGCTTGGGTTCAAGTTTTCCACAGACCGGAATCTCACCGTACTCCCTTTCCTATGCTCCCAATCAACTCTTATCAGTTGTTATCACTTTGTATCATTTGCGTACTATGTCCCCACCCAGCTCCCTATGATACATATGCTCTCCGATGGCTTATGCTCCTGTCCCATCACTTTTGTCACTTTTGAAGTTGAGCATCTTGCAGCTCGATTGAAGAAAGTCAGGGGGTTCTGGTTGGACACCCACACACCAACACACAAACTCAGCGGATTATATATGACCAGTCGGATCGCCCGGCTGACGCCGAGCTCTCCTCCTTCTCTCTAGGTCGGCTTCGCCGAGCTAGCTTGGCTTGGCCAGGCGCGCTCCATAATGGGGAAAAACACTCTTCCAGTTACTGCGTTGCTCGTACAGCTCTGTATTGGTACAACCATAACAGATAGAGTAACCCTGTGGATCCAGCGTTCCATAGTAAACGCTTGTACTTGCGGTACGCGCCATAACGGCCATAGGCCATACAACACACAGACAGGGTACAGCATCCTTCTGTGAAACAAATGGGGGGTCGTACTTTTGCTCTGGGGAGAGGACGTATTTGGGGTGGGGTAAGACAAATTCATTTCGATAGTTGATTTTTTCTTGTTGAAAAGTGCCCCCCCCCCAGTCATCGCTCGTCGTCGGCTGTCTCACTGCTACTGAGACAGGCGCTATGAATTTCGTGACACACAGACAGACGCACACACAAACATACACACACACGGACAGACATACTTAGCGGATTATATA